GAGCCATCTTGGAGACTTAGCCTAGTAGAGCCTTCAGCTGACTCCTGTCCCAGCCAACACCTGACTGAGAGCTGCATGAAAGACTCCCAGCAAGAACCGCTCACTGAGCCCTTCCGAATTCCTAAACCATAAAATCGTAAGCAAAATTAAATGACTGTTTTAAGCTGCTAAGTTTTGAGGTAATTTGTTATGTAGCAATAGATAATCAGAACATGGCATACACTTTAAGGTCTTTTAAACTCAAAATCAGTCTTTTGCAACTCCAAAGCCTGAGAATCTTTGTTTCTCTGCCATCCAGTCAATTCACAATTACTTGGGAGAGATATTAAGTGGAAGAAATATGGTGAATAGGGTGGAAATACAGTGTACGGAACTCTTGGTTGTCACCCACCCCTAAGGGTACGACATGTTATATAAGAGTGAGAGGTTTATTGTTGTTGTTTCTCTTGCAAAAGGGGATGGTTTCAATTCTTGAAAGAGAAAAACATGATAATTAAAATGCTGATTTGAAAAGTAATATAATTTTCATACTTTAGGTAGTCTCAGGGCTTGGGGTATGCTGGGACTGTAACAATACAGGGGTGGTAGGTGGGTGGGGAGCAGAGCCAACCCAGATGGCATGCACACCCACTCTGTCAAACACAGCTTAGGGAGCAGGTACTAGACATGACAGGGAACCTCACAGAAGGCAGCATAGCAAGTCCACTGATGAATGAGTAGGATCTGCTCATTTCTCATGTGCAGGTGCAAGCAGGTACCATGATGAACATGCTTTCCAGATGAAGGGAACAGTTGATTCATCAGGCTTTTCCCAATTTAACACAATAACACACCAAATAACATTTCCTGGTATACAGCAGGTCCTCAAATTTGTTTATTGTCCTTTGATTATAATGTGGATGAGATGTCATAGGAACCTAAATCATATCTATCAATTAGCCTATGGTAAAATAAGTTTTTTATACTAATTCTTTCGTCAGTTCCAAGAACCTACTGACAACATTAAATGAGGACTTACTGTACTCTCTTTCAATCTCCTCTCTCCATCTGCCGCCTTTGTTTTGCTCCCTTTACCAATTACCTTTCTCTGTTCCTCACTCTGTGTGATAAAACATGGTTGTACCACAGTCCCTGAGTTTATACGTGCCAGTCATACATAGAGTTGCCTCAGTCTCAATGCTAAATTCCTCGGATGAAAACTGGGTTTCAGTTGAGTCAGGTGACTCAAGGGACCCAGTCAAATTAATCATGGCAGGAAGGTGGGGCTCTGTAGTACGACCACGGTTGGCAGGAGCCCATCAACCCTCTGCACGAGCTGAGCGAGATCAAGCAGTTCTTGGAGAAGGGGAATGAATCACTGTGAACATGGCAGATGCTCCAACGTTGTTTACTTGGTAAAGTGTCTTCTATATAACAATGCTCAATAAATCAGTTATTATGAATAACATTATTATCATTCTTAGTTTAATTATCAAAAAAGGCTCTATAAGCAGGGAACACATCAGACATTCATGGGGCAAAAATGGAAGAACTTCCTTCCTCCATGCCCCAGGCTGACCACAGGATCTCACTCTGACTGGCGTGTTTACTGCGAACATCATCAAAGCTGACCCATCCCCATCAGCCACTTCCACCACCTTTTGTAAAAAGTTTAGGACATGGCATAGCTTCAAACTAGTTTCTTAAACTTTCAACTACTAGAGCATTTTCCAGATACAGTATATATTTCTATGGTCAAGTTCACAGTTTGTACTTAAGTATCATAATCATGGTTTGAGTAGAAGCTGTTGGCAATCTGAATATGAAGGTTCTTCTCAATTGCCTTTGACTGTCAGCAAGGGCACAGAGCACCCCAATAATAACTGCTTTTCCAGACTTGCTTGTTGCAACAACCTCTTTGGCACCATTAGAATAAGTGGAATTTTTTTTTTTGTTTTAGATAGGATATTTTGAAAGTCTATTAGAGGATTCTGTCTGGGTTTCCTATTTGGTTAAATCAGTAGGGTTTTTTTTTTTCTTTCTTTCTTTCCTTAATTGAATTACTTATCACTGAAATTTTAATAACCACTTTGCAAGTCAATTGGGAAAGGTAACCAAACACAACCATATCAACTCTGCTGTTATCAGTTGGGAACTCTCTCCACCCTTTCATTTAAAGAAAGGGTTTGAGGGAATTATGGTAAGTGAAATAAGCCAGATGGAAACGGACAAAAACTGTATGATTTCATTCATGTGGAATATAAAACAAAAAAGAAACAAATGAACAAACAAAACAAAACAAAACAAAAAACAGACTCACAGATACAAAGGTTGGTGGTTACCAGAGGGGAATGGGGTAGGGGGAAGGTTAAATGGGTAAAGGAGGTCAAATGTATGGTGGTGGCTGGAAATTAGACTTTTGGTGGTGACACTATAGTGTATACAGATATCGAATTATAATGTTGCACACCTGAAATTTTTATAAAGTAACTAACCAATGTTTCAATTTTAAAAAAAATAAAATAAAGGGTTTGAAATCTGACACCATTGCACAGAGCCAACAAGACCAAAACTGCAGATTTTTAGAGCTCTAAGGGGTCTTGTTGATCATTTAGTCCCAATTTCTCCTTAAGGGTGATAAACTGAGTTCTAGAGAGAGGAAATGACCTCCCAAAGAGCATTCAACCAATCAGTGGAAGAACTGGGCTGGGACTTGGGTCTCCTGAAGTTCAGTCTGGGCCCTAAAAGTAAGTGCCTTGGACTTACCATGACTAAAAATGAAGTGGCAATTTGAGACAAAACCATTTTTGTTTCAGAATTATTACTGTTTCAGGAAGAGAGAGAGAATGAGAATGACAATGAATATCTGCTCCTGCAGAAGAGATCTGGCTTAAATAACCCTCGTTCTCAGTCTCTTTCATTAATACTTGAACATTTAAATATCAAAGGTGATTTGAGTATACAGAGGAGACACTAAAATGGAAGAAACAGGTTTAAAAGGGAACATCTTTTATTTGAATACTGAATACATTCTTTTAGTACACAAAGTGTGCTGAGAATGGAATTTATTAAAGGAAAAAACAATGTTGGGAACAATACAAAATGGAAAAAATATAATTTCTACTATAATACAAATGATAAATACATTAGCATTCTGTGAAGTCCACTTAAGGCAGTCTATCATCTGATAAGCTGTAGTTTAATTTAAACTTATTTCAGATGAGTATTTGGAATTATCGAAAAACGCTACATCCATAAAATTAAACAAAGCAAATGAAAGAGTGTATCACAATTCATTAAATATCATTAATGAAAACAGTACCTGACAATTAGAAAACAAAGTTTTTTCATTACAAAAAACTAGTGTTCATATTAGAGGTGACAGTGTTTTTATTTCTAACATAAGACACTTAATATTCCATATTGAAATTTATCTTTTGAGTTCAAAGAGTGTGCTCTGCCTGTTAGTGTAGAATGAATGACATGAATTTAGTTTTCAGTTCCTCCAGATTCTCAGAGCATCAGTAAGACAAGTCTCAGAATCATCATGAGGCTGGATTAAAATAAAAGAAAGGCAAAGTGAGGGGTCGCTCTTACATGGCATGAGACAGAAGGGCCCTGCGCTCCCCTAACCTGTGGTGTGACTAAACTCTGGCTTCCAGCATTCTCTCCTCCTTCTGCTCCTGGGAGCAGGGGTGATCTCATTTTCCCTGTATTTGAACTTCCCAGACATGACTGAATTAAGCCACTTACAAATGTCCACTGACTGAATGAGAAAAATCAGAACTCACTGTTCTTAAAATCTGGGATGAGGCTTTATGAGACAGAGGTTTTGAAGAAACACAAAACTTTCATAGTAAAGTAAGTCAATTAAAAAAAATAATCTAGGAGCAGTTTTGGGGGGAGGTATTATTACAGTCTCAGCTACTTTCCATTGATTAGGGTCTTGTCTTCTTAATGTGCAAACCCTACTTCTGATTCTTTCCACCATCAAGTATCATTTTTTAGGCAGGCCTATAACTGGAAAGCAGTCTTTGTAATCACAAAATCATAAACATAATGATTTTATATCCACAAATCATAAATATAATACACAGCCACACTAGAAAATTCTACAGAAAGGAAGAGGAAAATTACTTATTACGCTACCGCCCAGAGATAAACACGAATAGTTTTGAGGTCTTGGTTTTTTATACATAAACATATTTAAATTGAGATCACATTTTATTCATCCTTTAAAAAAATCTTATGTCAAGATTTGCCAATACTACTACACAGTTTTTGAAAACGTGACATGTAATGCCTGTTCAATATTCCATTAAGTGGACAAAACATTCATTGAAACATTTAGTTACTGGTGAATTTTTAGGTTGTCTTTAATTTTTCAATTTATCAGGTTTTCCATTAGAAATAAAGTTGCAATAAACATCAGTCATTGTATACACTCATTATTCCTTTGGAATAAATTCCAAAAGGTGAAAATGTATATCAAAGGATATGAACATGTTTATGGCTTTCAACATAGAAAGACAGCTTTTGGGAAGAATTAAAATTTTACCTATAAATTTTTACTTGGTAATATGCTTAATCTCACGGATAGAATTACTGGAATCAAATTAAGAGAAACTTGAAGCTCCCTAGTTATCTTTTTAAAAAATATTGTTTTCTCCCTTAAAAACTCAAAATAACTGCAGCAGACTGTCGCTCTAAGAGAGACTGAGTATCAGATTTAAATGAATACATTTACTGCCTCAGATGGGTAAATCTTGAGGCAAAAATGAGGCTTTCGTTTTTTAGTCTGAAAAATGGTAAGTGTGTACATGCGATCAGATACTATCGCAACACTAAGTGTATCCAACAAAAACGTTCATGTGTACATCAATACCAAACACAGAATGCATGATAGTTTAAGGGTTTACAGTCATGTTTACCATAATAAAAATTACTTTGACACTTTGCCAAAAATGCAGCACTTCAAAATGAGGGCAGATGAAAATATAGACCAATATAGTGTGTCTTACCTTAAACCTGCAACTAGGCCAGTTGGCATTACTTTCTTGGATCTCTTAAACCTCACACCCATCATGGTGGCCAGAAAGAACGCTGTAACTGAAAAACAAAGTAATGTATGAACCAGAGTTTCAAACATGTTATCAATGCTTGCTTGTGAAAGAAAGCGATCTCATTTCAGCTTTCTAATAGAACACTATTATGTTGCTATTTTCTTGGAAAGATATTGAGTTGCTATTTTCTTGAAAAGATGAAGTGCTCTATTAAAACACATTGTGAACTAGCTCTTCAGCAAGGTTTATGTAAACAAGCATGTTAAAATCCATTCTTGAAATGTCTTCAAAAGAAAGTCTTTTTCCAGCTTAAATTTCTATTTATAGACTACTCCTTAAAGATTAGGACCTGTCTTATTCAACATTCCTCAGCAATACTAGCCAGTATACCTGGACCCACAGGAGACACAAAAAATGTTTAGTAAACTGAATATAGGGAATACAATCACTATCTTTTTTTCAAGTAAGAACTAATTAATAAAATAATACTGTTTTAGTATTTAGAAGAAAGTGACTTTTTATTCTGTAGCTTTCCATTTTGGGACATTTGAAGCCTGGAGACAAAAAAAAGAAAGAAAAAAGAACTAGTCGAAGTTATAATATTAAATTCAGAAGCATCACACCAGCCTTTTAGGAGTTGACACAATATAAAGAGTAAGGTGATTTTATGTAAGAGATTAAGGCATTGATTAAGAACAGCTTTCAGAGAAAAATCGTTTAATACAATAAAACCCAAAATGATTGACAATAAACATGTGAACTATTTAAATGTATAAGAATACAAAGCCTTATATATCTATATCTTTATCCTCTAACATAATTTCATAATAAAAATATCCCTAGCTCCTAATTAAATTAAGAAAATAAACAAACCACCAAATCTCTTTTTCTCCCTCAAATATAGAACTGATACACTTTCTCTTCGTTTGTAGTTTTCTCAATACCCCACCAGTGCCCTTGGAATAATAATCAAATTAAATAAAGAAAATTTCCTAGGTGTAGTTTTTCCAAACCTTCACTGCATTTCTCTTTCAAGCTAGACAAAAACGAGCCAAGCATCTTGGCTGCTTTAAACACACACGAGTTTCCGTTTTTTCTGTGGATATTTTCCTACAAAGCCCAACAAGGGAAGAAACTACAAAAGGGTCAACCTTGCTTGTCTAGGTTAAGTCTTGAGGCAAAGAAGGAGCTAAAAGCTATATGTTAATTAAATAAAATAATGCAAAGCTGGCTCTTTTTAGGTATTTTCCCAGCAACGCAAACTATACTAAATATACATTTAGGAGAGTTAACAGAAAATCTGGGCATAATTCATTGCTTTTTCTAATTTTCATTTTACTTTTCTAGTGACAAGTTTTATAGAAATATTTTTCTGAGCTGGAAGGCCTAGTGGCAATGTCATTATTTTTGATTGGGTCTGCCTAGGAAGGAAGAAGAATTGTGTTCAGTCTTGACACATGTATATGGCCACTTGCCATCCGACTATATATCTTCTAGAATACTCAGTATAGGGCATCAAAAAAGCTACCCCAAGGTTCAATTCTCCACAACTGGGAAAAATGCCTTACTTACATAGTGACAGTTTTACATCCCTCCTGTCATTGGAGACACGGTAAGCTCCATAGCCAGCTAAAAATCCAAGAAAAAGACCAGCAATCAAAGACAGGATACCACCTGGAAAAAAAAGTATGTACTCAGAAAGAGAATCACAAAACGAAAGGAATTTCTTCAAATATGATACATGCACCTTCAAATGTATTTCTACTTGGGCACTGTGACTGAACAAAGCCAAACTAATGATAGGCCAGTTTCTAAAAAATGACTTTCATGCTGAACCCAAAATGCAAGGCAGAGGAACCCCACATGCATAGCAATGCAGGGGTTAGGCATCACCTGAGGGAATAAGAAAACCTGCCTTGTAGTAGTAGTGGTTTTGGCCTTGAGGGCATGATGTTGGGAAATTAGTGGACCTATTTATGTCTCTCTCTCTCTCTCTCTCTCTCTCTCTCTCTCTCTCTCTCTCTCTATCTGTCTGTCTATCTATCATCTATCTATTTATCTATCTCTGTTTTTCCTTTTTCTTTCCTACTCTCCTTGACTCCATCTTTTTACTGTGAGGTTGTGAGGATAAAAATAAGATGCAAAGCTATTTTTAGTGTATAGGGGTAGAAAGAGAAGTGCTGTGCAAATCAAATACTGGTTCTATTTTGAATAATTAACAAAACTTCTGGCCTCAAGATGTCAGGGTTCAGGGATGAATGGTGACTACACTGAGAAATGGGAAGAACCAGGGCACTGACACAGCCAGCCAGCCCCGAACCCATCGACCCAATGTACCAGGGCACTGTGACAAACACCAAGCACTTTCTGTGCACTCGGCAGTGGGTTACATACCAGTAACACTAAACAAGATACACAATCCTCTCTTCATGGAACTCTCTATTTAGAATCTCTGTGTTTGGAATCCCTAGGAGTAGGGTCAAGGTATTTCTGTTTTTTAAATATCCATAGGAATTCAGGTTGCAGTCAGAGTTAAGAACCACTGGAGCAATATAAGAGCAAGCGCACGTGAGTGCGCGCGCGCGCACACACACACACACACACCCAGCATCCTGAATGAGAAGCCAAATGCCCTAGGTTCTAGTCCTAATTCTTACTGCCTACAGGATTTTGGTTAAATCACTTGGCCTCTCTGAGTTTGATCAGTTGCAAAACAGGGTTAATAAGATTATCCATGTCAAATATGTATAAAAAGGCTAGAATGCTACAGTTGGAAATAATATTAAATTCCTCATTGCTCCTCCCAACCTCCAGCCAAATCTATTCTCCAAACACAGCAATATGATCTTTTAAAAACATCCATCTGGACAGGTCACTCCCCTAATTAAAAACCCTCAGTGAGTGCTTCCCGCTCTGTTGTTGCAGCCCGGGTCTTCTTTCAGTTCCTTGAATATGCCAGAGGCTTTCTTTCTCACGGCTTCCAGACAATGCTGTTCCTTGCCTGGACTGCTCTTCCTGGGCAACTGCAGCTCCCCTTTGGATGGTGCCTGAAGTGTTCGTTTCTCAGAGATGCCTTCTCTGACCCATCATTCTGAATGAGGGCCCCCATTACAGCCTCCCATTGGTCATCATCATGTATTTATACACCTGTTCATGTATCTAATGTCGGTCTCCCCCACTCACTTGTGAGCCCCATGTCTTTTTGCTCACTGCTGTCTTCCCAGGGCCCAAAACAGTGCTGGGTACACAGGCAGCCCTAGATAAATACTGACAAAATGCATGCCTGGGTGCTCACGATCAAGCAGAAGTCAGATAAAGTCATAGTTAAGGAGATTATTCTATTTCATCCTAACAGATTAATTTACAAATGAGGACTCAAGGCCCAGGAGTTAAAACAACTCGCATGAGCATCAGAGCTAGTAACAGTAGTGTCAAGAGCAGAACTTGGGCCTGCGAGATTCTGTGGCCTGTGCTCTTAACCCAATTATGCTATAAGAGTGGGCTTCTTTGAACACATAATACCCCCAGGGGCTTCCAGGGTAACTCAGTGGGGAGCTCTCACAGGAGGCCAAGGAACCATTGTGCAGCTGAGCAACAAGCCCCTGAAATCAGAGATCTTACAGCTAATGCGATTTCATTTGTTCCTGAAGAGATTTGGGTTAGAATAGTAAAGTAAATCCCTCCCCTTATCCCTTCCCCCACTCCAATTCTCTACCCCACCCCCAAACCACTTCTTCTCACCCCTCTAAAAGGCAGGCAAAAATATCTAGATGTTCTTTCCTGTTCTGTAATACAGGTTATTTAGACACGTCTTTGACAACAAAAACTTTTCAGTAACAATCCTATCAGGATTTAAACTGAGTACCCTTTAAAGTAGACTATGAAACATCAACTTTTGAGAATCGTTGTATACAAATCTTACTTCAGTGCCATCATTTTTTTTCCAACAAATATATATATATATATATATATATATATATATATATATATATATATATATCCAGTGTGTTATATACATCCCCAGTGTTATATTGAGAAAAAATATAAGATCAAACAAAAATCTAAGGTGAGTTACAGGCTCTCAGGAATCTTAGAAGAGAACCTATTCTAGCCTGCCAGCCCCTGGAAATATGCCTCACCTTGGACTTCTTAGCAATTTCTAAAGAAGGAAATAACTTTTGATAACTGTGTAGACCTGTTTTTTTCACTCAAGCTCAAGTCCACTAATGTCACAAATATTTGAAATATACTTCATTTTAAAAATACAAATACAAGAGAAATATCAGACACCATGACTGTACATGTTTCTACCTTTAAACAAAGTAAAATACAAAACGTTGTTCTCCATGAAAACACTTTATCAACTGGGTTTGGTTTTTTTCTTCTTTTCGACAGGGATGGAGAGACAACCTCAGATATGATATTTAAGTATTTAATGAACTTTCCTTTCCAACACACAATGTCAACATAATTCAGTTTTTTTGACACTATGACTATGTGAACAAAAAAATTTCCTCATTTAGTAATAAGCCAGTAGCCCTGAGAAGGTTAAATCAATTAACTATGCAGCTGATAATGACAAATGAAATTAGAATTCTGTGGTGGAACGAGACTGGGAACCCCAGATTGGAATGCTCTGCCATGCCCAGCCCTACATAACCCCTTCCTTCCACAAATCCCTTCCCATCCTGCTTACAGACCCTCAGTTAATCCCAGCACAACACCACCACCCCACCGTCATTTTCATGAACAATCTGGTTTGGGCTTACCTCTCCGCTTATATCCCCAAATACTTCCGAATGTCACAAAGGCTGCATAACCAAAGCCAACAAGGTCCATTGGCGAGATTGCAATTCTAAAGCGAGCGGGAAGGGACAAATTTTACAAAATAAAGAGAGTTTGGGGGAGCAAATATATATAAAAGTGACAATGCATGACACAGAATTATAGAAATTAATTTCTCTAGTCTACTAAAAAAAAGGGAAGCTAGATCTTCTCTCTCCCAACACTTAACCACTGTCCGCCCTCCACGCTCATAACTCTCAAGCACACTCAGGTTGATTCTCCTTTTCTTCTCTTCAAGACCTGCTGTACCCTCAGCTGTTAATTTCCTTTCACTTCCCCAAGTAAGATTTCTGCTGTGGTGAGCCAGGCCTCCTCACTGGAGACACCGCCACAATTTTCGCTTCTCATCATGCCTGGGGTGACCCCCTCTCCCCACCTACACACCCCAACCACCTTCTATCCCCACTCCCGTCTGTACCTTCTTCCCCTTCTTAACTTCCTCCCGACATCCTTAGCCACTCTAGCCTGCACCATCCACCTGGTCTGGAGAAAACTGCTCCTTTCTCTACATTCCTTGACATTAGCAACTCCATCTTGTAATTCATTCATATTTTTTACAGATATTCGTCCCCCCATTCCCCTCACACAAAGAACAGAAAAGGGGTAATATGGACATTTGCTGATTGACTGAACCAGATTCACTTTAGACATTTGCTTTGACTCTGGCTGTTAGGATAGCTCTTTTGTGGGGGCAGAGGCATCCACACTTAATCAATAGTAAATCACTAACGAATATAATGAAGCCCTGGCATGAAGTTAACTGAATGAGAATGATACCCTATTATGCATCACACTGACAGCAGTTGAAACATACCTCCAGGGGTGAGAAGTCCCACTGAAGTCCTGCTCACGATTCTCTCGGATGGAGGAGACAGTATGCTGGCTACAGGCTGGAGACATGGACACTGGTTACTAGTGGCTGTTGGTCCTTGGATCATGGCCCATTCTTAGGGTCAAATCTCCCCAAAGTGAGGGGAATAGATGAGATGAGCTATAAAGGTCCTTGTAGCTTTTTAAATTCCAAGAGTCCTTGTGGTAGTTTCAGATCTTAAGTTTTTTACATCTATAGTTCCTTCATGGGGAAAATATCTTTGTATATATGAGGAATAATGTATAAAATTTCTTTGCATTTTTAGTTTTCTCACTGCTTGTCAATTAGGTTAACCTGGTCTTTTATTTCCTGTAGCAATTGGTAACAAACTGACCCAGGAGAACAGTAAAAGGGTTTTGAGCTTATCTCAGAGAATAAGCTAGAACTTACTGTGAGGAAGGATCTTAATGGAGAGAACCCAAGGCATTGGAGGAGATAATGGTACTGAAAAGGAGGCAACACTGAAAACTCCTCTACATCTGTGGGAAGAAGAATTAAAACAGGGGAACTCAACTGTGCCCAAGAAGTGGCCCAGTGGGGCTGAATGTGTAGGAAGGACACGTATTCAAAAACCACTGTTGACTGACTGATGGATAAATAAATAACAATAATGAAGACGATGTTTTTGAGCAATTACCATGTGCTAGGCAGCATTCTAAGGCCTTACATGTACCAACACATTTAATGATGTACTATCATTATCCCCATTTTCCAGATGAGGAGACTGAGGCACAGAGAATAAAGCAAGACCTCTGAGCTCACACAGAATCAAGATTTCAGACTCAGAGAAGTTTCGATCCTAACCACTAGAAATAATAGTAATAACTCTCATAATTGAGTTAGTTGCCTGAAAAAAAGTGAATATGCAAACGAAACTGATGTTCCTCAGAGTTTTTAAATTCTGGACTCATCAATTCTGCTTGGTCTCATTGCTTAAAGTTGTGAGCACACTGCACTGTTTCCCATCTCACCAAATGGAAAACTATCTTCAGCCCTATAAGCATCTCAGGCTCAGTCCTCCTGTCTTTCTCAAAGAGTTAATCATATCCTACAGTGCATGCTTGGCTTCAAACCTGATGCCACCATTTACTAGCTGTATAACATTAGACCTGTTTGTTAATCTTTCTGTAACTCAGTTTCTCTACCTGTAAAACAGGGATAATCGAAATATATACCTCACAGAGCTGTTAGGATAATTATATGAGTTAATACTGTACAGCACTTAGACTAGTGTCTCGCACATACGGAGCACTCCACAACTATTAGCTGCTCTGAAAATGACTATTTTTCTCTTTCACCCTTATAACCCATTTTTAAACTTGACATGTATAAAGTCCACTGAGAAAACAACTGAGGTAGGGTGGATTTATGATTCAGGCATTTAATGAATCAAACCATAACATTACAACTTATACCTACCGACTTCCATTTAATAACTATTTATTAAGCATTTTCTTTGTGCAAGGCAGTAGGAAGCAATGAAAATGCCCTCAGACAAGGCCCTGGTCTTCCAGGACTTACAGCACAAAATAACAGAGGACGTGGATACGTGAATGAGCCCTAAGAGGAGAGGCATGGGCAACTCACAAGGCTTGGGAGCCTGAGGAAAGATTCCTAGAGGAAGCAGGGTCCCGGCTGGGACCTTGGGGAGAGTAGAAGCAAGCCACGTAAAGAGGGTGGCAAGGAAGGGCATCTTGTAGGCCGAGGGAAAACATGTGCAAAGGCCTAGTGAGAAAGCATGACATGTTTTCAATGGAAAGAAGTACAAAGGGGGTTGAAAAAAGAGATGAGGCTGGTGAGAAAGACAGGACTGGACTCCCATGGACGGGAGTTCGGTTTCTGTCCCAAGAGCAGTGAGAAATGCATGAAGGGAGCCTCATAATCAGATCTCAATTCCAGCAAGCACTTCCTGGCTGGCGTAGTGGGAGATGCGTTGACGTGAGGATGGGAGATAAGCTGAGAGGCTGTTGCAGTATGCTAAGCAATAGATGATGGTAGCCCGGCCTGGAAAAATAGCAACAAGGGTAGAGAGAGGTAGAGAGATTCAAGAGGTAGAACCAATAAACCTGGATCTGCGAGTGCGGGGGAGAGGGATGAGTCAGAGATGAGTCAGGTTTCTGGCCTGGACCAGTAGGAGAGGTTGGGGGGGGGGTGCTGGGGAGACTCCATGCTATCCCCTGAAAGAGGGAGCACTGGAATAGCAGTAGGTGTGTGGTGAGGGAAGGAAGTGACCAGAAATGATGAGACTATTTAGTCTGAGATGCTTGACACACAGGCAGGAAAGCACCCGTATATACAGATCTGAAGTTTACAAGAGAGATCACTCAGCATTAGATAGTAGGCTGGGGGCCAAATGCTTTTCTTAAGCCAAACTCTGGGTGCAAACCACTGCTTCTTCTCCCTCCTCCAAGTCCCCCAGCTCTTCCTTTGATGCTCTTGGGGCCCTACCCTCTTCTACTTGGCAGAGTTGGCTAAATTGGGTTTATCTCTCCTCTCAGCCAGTCAAGCTCCTTGAAGGCAAAGCTCAGGTTCAATTCATCTTTGTCCTCACAGCACCAAGCTCACTAGCACGCGTAAGGCAGGTGCTTAGTAAATACTTGCTGAATGAATGAGTGAGCCTAAGGCACAATTTCTGTCTGAAGGCACTCTGTAACTGACCTACCCCAGGTATAACTCAATGCCAGAACACGGCCAACCCCTGAATCTTCTCAGTGAACTGTGTTGTTCTAAGGAGGCAACGTCAATCTAGTCTCAATCCTTGCAAGAAGTTTCTGTACTCAGAGAAAACTCAGACAAAAAACAACCACCCCTCCTGCTCCTTTTCCATGGCAGCACCATATGACCTACCCAGAAGCACACATGAAAAGCCAGAGGCTGTGTTAACATGAAAGGAATAGGGGTGACGGATGAGGTGGGACGCATCACGCGCTCCCATCGCAAACGAGATGCTCAGCACTTAGAAAGGCCAGAAAGCATCTTAGGCGCAATGCAGCAAAATAACTTACTGTACCTTGTACAAAACGAGGTGACAGGGCCCTGCCTTGACCCTAGCCCTGCAAAATTTAGGGGACCCATTAAGAGGTTTTCCGTAAGCTACTATATAAAAAGCATCTTCACATGTTGGGCATCAACAATTACCTACCTCTGAACTCCCTGAGGCTCAAAACACATTTTCGAGTGAAGTCTGGGTGGTGCTAGACAGGTTAAAACCCTGCCAAGCATTTTTGCAACGATCCAAGAGCCCCGCCTCTCTCTAGCTACAGGAAGGTTGGAGGAAGGACAGGTGAAGATTCGAGAGAAGGAAGAAACTTGGGAACTTTCCAGGAGGATCAGCGAAGCGATCCCTGGGAGAGCAGACCTCATTTCCTGCAAAAACCTACCAAGGTCCTCCGTATGACTGCTTATTTTTGCGCCTCTGCAAGAAAATTCAGGGCAGGAAGGTCTCGATTGCGCGGGGTACAACTCACCTGTACCCCCACGAGCCCTCCTTGCGGCTGAAACCAAAAGTCGGGAGCCAGCTGCGGGTAAACTTCGTACCTGAAGACTGCAAGCGATCCGCGTCGCCAGCGACTTGCGACTCTGCGCCCCACTTTCCACGCAGTCGGCAGGGGCCGCTGGTTCCGGACCGCGCCTGCCTTGCTGCGCGCATGCGTTGCGTCCGTATCTTCCTCGGTTCAGTGTTGCTTCATCCAGGCCCGCCCGGCGGAGGGGAGGCGGCCAATCCACTAGGTCACCTGGAGTGTTCGCGCTGATGTAACGTAACAGGCAGCGGCCGGATCGGCCACTGATTCTGTTTGCCCCGCTTTCGGCCCTGGCCCCGAGCTGGGGTCTGGGGTCCGCTGCCTCCTGCCTGTCGGAGCGGAACTAACAAGCATGCGCGCGGAGTGGTCTGGGTGTAGCAGGAATCTCAGAATGCGAAAGGTTTTCAACCCTGAAGCTCATTCCAGTGGATATTTGTGTTTACAGCAACCCGGGTCTTTTACATACTCTCCAGCAGGTTGTTCCTGTTTCCAGTGGAGAGAGCCAAAGCCTCCGTGGGGTGCCAAGATTAGAGCCCAAGTTTGTCTGTTTTCAAAGCACGAGCATCCTTCATTACACCACATAATCTACCGGATCATCTAGATGTGGCAGGGAGATCAGACCCTTGTTTTATACTCCAAGCCCAGGATCAGTTGGGCTTAATTAAGTATCTGAAGGGAAAGGTATATAGTGTCAGAATTGGAAGGCGCTGTAAATTTGTCTAGTCCCAGGATAATCCGTTCCCACAAAGAAACTTGACTTGGAATTATGCCTCCCAGTAGCAACTCATCTCAGTCCAGTGTTGCTGTCTAGGCCGCTTCCTTATATAATAACCCATCTAGGAGTCATTAAGCAGCTCTAAGAGTGCTGTAGGGCTGGGAATAATAGCATTTTCTTTAAAAACAAATACCCGAGACTATACATTAAATTCTACGAAATTTGTATGCTTAATCTATTTCATGTACTTAAAAGTGCTTATGAGAAGTAATGTGACTAACTTGTGAGAAACCTGTGTTGGTCCTAGGGAGTTAAGATTCCTGAAGAGTCACAGGCGAGTTGATGGCAGGCACTGGAATGGATTAGAGGGAGTGGTGTCCTGAAGTCTGGCTGAGTTCTCCCAGCACTCCTTTCCATCCCCTTTTATTCCCATCCTTGCCCCCGCCTGTTCCCTTTCTCTCTCTTCAGACTCTCAGGACACTTTCCCTATTCAGAATAAAACTAAAACCATCTTGGAACGTATCAGTATCTTAAACTGATGTGAACCCAGGTAAATAACTTCCCCCTGGACCTCAGGGCCTGGATTTATAAGATGTTGCTCTGGATGCTGAGTTCCCTGACACTCCTGTCACTGAGATATTAGTAGACACAGCCTCATGACGTTCCTACTCAAGGCATGTTTTACCTAAACCTAGAGGAACAAAACTTTGCATGCTATGGAAATTCTATACTCTTGGACATGTGGGAACAAAGTTCTTAGGCCATGGGGCCATTGTCTTCTCAATTTATATGCCATCAGCTGCCACCTACTCCAGCTACTGGTAAGGTTAGCGCACGAGGTGGGGGTGCAGCAAAGCCTATTTCCCTCTACCTATTTGTAAAGCTTTCAATTCATGATCCACAGTAGAGGCACTTAACTTGCAATGTGCCATCACCCCCTTCAGTAGTCTGGAGAAATGCACAAGGTAAAATCCAAAGGATTGCCAAGGAAACCAATTTTATTGAAATGCAGTTATCAAAATACTAAACATTTAAATCTGTGATGCAATAGATGTGCTTCTTTATTAAGTTACAAGATCTAGGAATGGGTTTAATAATTACCATAATTTCCAAGTAGTGGTACACATAAACAATACTTTGAGGTATTTATAACATGTGAACATCTGATTCTTAGTGATGACAGTCATAGGTACTAATACTACTGTGGGTTGCTGCCTATTTTCCTAATGGAAAGAAATGCTAAATTTTCATTAGAGGTTGGTGAAAAGTGGAAATTTCTTTTTCTGACCCAAGTTCTCAGATCTCCTGATCTCCATTCTCAGGTCCCTCTGGATTCGGAGAATTCCCAATCTATGGTAATGCAGGTTTTCATAAGGTGTATGTAGGTGGAATTAGAGACAGCAAGAGCAAGGTTGAGAGAGCTTGACTGACAGACTGGCTGCTCAGGCAGGGTCTCACCTGATGTTTACACTTCAGTGAGTGCCCTGTGGTTCCTGAGCCTGGGCCTCGTTATCAAAAGTTCAGAAATTCAGTTTGTATCAGTTCTTCCAGGGGCACCCTGGCTTTGGGAGATTGATTCATAAAAACCAAAGTCACAGGAGACTTCCTGATTTTTAAACAAATAGACAGACAGACAAACAAACACAGCCTGGTCCTTGATTCTTCTCTTCTTCCAGATCCTACATGGTGACTTATCGTTTGGGCCTGTTCATCAGTAAAAGAAATTTTGAACAAGCATCCCAATATATGTGTAATGTTTATTTCTAAATTAGACACATACTGCTGTGCTAATATGCTATGAATATCGTGAATACAAATATATGTCAAAATAAAATACATAAGACTTTAAAAGGAGACTATGAAAATGATAGGACTAATTAGATATTTCCTATATTTAATTTTTAAAAAACTGACATAGTTCTTTCTGTCCCATGTTACAGTATAATAATTTTTATTCTGTCTCCTTTTCTAATAATACTTTTCTGAGCTGCTTGCAGCCTTTAGGACTTCCTTCTTTTCTTTTATGTAGTGGTAAAACTGAACACAATCAAATGTAAAATTCACTCTGACATGCAGCTCTGCTCTTGTTAAGCCCACATGACACTGATTCCTAGTGTCCGTGCAATGTGATGACATTAAGCTAAAGAGCTTCTCAACAAAAGTGTCTGAACATGGAATACTTAGGATTTTACCTACTAGCAACTGCAAGTTTTTAGATTCATAGGGATTAGTTTCCATGTCTGCAAAAATGTCCACCCTGTTAGAATCCACAGGCTTGTTTTGAAAGACCAGTTGTTTGTCAATCAGGTCCTTAGCATCTATAAATTCATCATAGAGGCTATCCATGTCTAACATGTCCATCATTTTTTTTTTCTAAAGATTTGTATTGGGGAATTGGGGGATGGGCACAGTGCTGGGGAATTGGGGGAAGGGAAACAGACAAATTGCTGTCCTTTTGTTCTTCACTCTAGTTGTGGAGGACATTGCTTCACTGGCCCAAGTTGGCACCATCATTGCGCTCTTCGCGGGCGAGGCAGATCGGTTACCGGCTTCTGGATGGCCGCTCACACCAGCTGTCGGCCGCTCATGCTGGCTGCTGACTACACATGGTAGCCCATGGCAACCCACTGCAGTCTACGCCGTCGCTGGCGACTCACAGCAGCCCAGGTCCAGGTTGAGCTGTTATTCAGCATCTTAGCTGTAGAGGGCGCAGCATCACTGGCCCTCATATGTGGGATCCGAACCGGGGCCCTTTGGCATCCCAAGCCAGTTCTTAACCATCGCACCACTCGGCCGGCCCTGTCCATCATTTTTAAACACTCTGAAGCACACTGGATGTCATCATAAGTTAAACATCTCCTTCTCAGGGAAAATGGTTTTAAAGCACAGAGGTAATCTGAACTGGTGAAATCAAAGTTGGATTCCAAATAAATTACAGTTCTAGTAAAGAAATTAAGAAAGTCCTGCTTAACTAGGCTGCTCTTTTCTGGTGACATATTGTTTTTTTAACTCTGAAGCAGTCTTATTTCCGAAAAACGAATCATTTTTCTGCTGTGTGAGTTTTTGTCTCAACCTATATATAATATCAAACAGCTCAGGTGCGGTCAGCTCCTCCTTTTCTAGGCTCTTTATGGCCTCTCCAAAGATCATCAAACAGTTCTGGAGAAACAGAATATAAACTTCTGTTTTACTGTAATCCTTTTCTCCATTCTCACCCTCAATCTATTTCCAAATCAAAGAAGGACATTCTTCCTGTCCCACACTTTGAAAACAGGATTTTATGGCAGGCCAACACTTTAGCATTCTTTCTATGGCTGGGAGCAACGGCATCCATCTTGTAGGCACTTGTCTAAAGAGGTGATCTCCTTCCATGTCTATAAAGTCAAAAATCTCAGTAAGTGCTTCTGCACATTTTGAGGAAACTGAAAAGTGACCAAACACGTTCATTATGAAAGTCTCAATATTCCATTTAAACGAATCACAATGCTTTTTGGCAGTGTTGTATACAAGATGGGCAGGACACTGAGTTGGTAAGACCTTTTCATTTTCTTTGTTAAGAAGTTGATAGACTGAATGGAATTTGCCACAACTTGCATTTGCAATGTCTGATGAAAATGTAGATAGATGAGTTAAGTCTATTTTGTATTTGGACAAAATAGCAACAATCTTTTGTTATATGATTTCAGCAGTTTCTTTAGAATCCTCATAGAAATCAAGAAGACTATTTGAAACTCCATCTTTCAAGTCAAAGTATCTAAGGGCTAATGGGAACAGGTTTTTGTTGCCATGATTCGGCTCATTGCTTGAAGTTGACATGCTGAAGAAAACATGATTGTTGGTAAGAAATGACAGAATCAGCTCTATGCTGTAAGGGGCCAACACATCTGTGATCAAAACTGCTCCTTTTGTTCACCCACAGGATACTTTAGTTGCAACCTCTGAATCAGGAAATGTAACTTTACTCAGTTTCATAGAACAATCAAGGGAACGATATGATAACGCATGTTTGTTCATGTGGTATGCCCAGGCTAATTCAACAGCTGCTATTTTTGACTGAACATTGGTGTCTTTTTGGGACATGAAAACACTTTCGACTGGTTTAGAAGCGCTGGCCTGTCTCATCCTGGACTTGTGAGCTACGGTCTCCATATGTGCTTTCACATCCCCTTCTCCACCATGCCCAACCCCACATTCTTTTCTGCATAGTGTGCAGTGTGCTCTGTTTGGGTGATTTACCTCCCTAATCCAGTTGTATGTGTCCTTCCATCTGTCATTAAATAACAGAGTCATTTAGCCTTCTTTTTCAGTGATGGGATCATGCTTGCGTTGGTCTTTTCATCATTCTCATTTCCATTATCAGACCTCTTAGAAAACATGGTCACAATAGTCATTTTTAAAAAATGAAACTAGCATTATCCTGACACAAAGCACAACAGTTAATCCACAGGCAAAGTCAAAGATGGTCTGTTAATATTCATAATTATGATACACTTAAGTCGCACCTCTCTGACGGATGCAACCACTGAACAGATAAATCATTATTGTCAAGCACAAATTATAGTTGCCAACATCAGTGGTCAGGGGAAAGTGGGCAACAGCAACTACAGAAGGTGCATAATCTATGCAATATCCATTTGACACTAAAGACTGTGTTGCTTTCAGCCCCTCTTTTGTGGACCACTATATGGGTTTTGTACTTTTCCTCCAAACTTCCACACTCATGACCTTCTACATTCTAGGGAAGAGTTTCCCGGGATACTTGCAATGGGGATGACTGGTTACCCTACTAGGTTCCCCACTAGCCCAGGGGCTAGCTCTCCAGAAACAGGAATACAGGCACATGGAGCTGGAAACTCCTTACCTTGCTGCCACCGATGGTGCGGAACTTCTCCAGGATATTTCTCACAGGTTCCTCTTCTTTAAAGGTGATAAAAACAGAACCTCGTCTTTTATTAGACTCTGGATCCAATGAAAACTCAATGGCCTCAATCTGGAAACACAGGCAAAGCTCAAGACTGGTGCCTCCCCCTACTCAGGATCTAACGGGAACTCACCAGAGAGAAGCCACCCAAAAGCCAATGAGGAGGAGAAAGAAGCCTAGCTGAGAAGAACTCCAGCCAGACAAGGAAGGAAGAAAAAAAGAAGCCACAGGTGGCTGGTGGAGAGCATAAACTACACCCTAGGGAGACACTTACCTCCCCAAACTTGCAAAAGTACTCTCTTCTCTTCTCAGTGGATTCAGGGTTCAGACCCCCACAAAGATTTTCTTCACAGGATCCTTCTTCACAGCTATGGCCTTTTTGGGGCTCAGGCTACCAACGAACAATTTTCTGAAATGGTAGGTAGGGTGAGACCCATGGCAACAAGAAATCTTATAAGGAAGCCATGAGCTTATGTCTTACAGGCAATCCATAAGTTACGGAGGAATTGGATCTCCGAAATCTTTCATTGGAAGGATTACAAATAAAGCTAGCATCCACAGCCAAGGTCTACACCTACCCACCCACCAGAGTCTACAAAGACTACCTTTGAAAGCCGTTAACAAACCTACACTACTTCCTTACTGAAATCTCAGCTCTACATGGACGCTAATAAAACTTAAGACCACAGCACCCACAGGTTCGGAGGGGGAATGGACAGGCAACCTCACCCACCAAGCCCTGGGTACTCCTCACAACTGGAAGTAAGTTTGTTTTAAAAAAACAAAAACCAACCCTCTTATCAAAGTGCTGTCGTCTGTCTTCCCCTGAACCCAAATATCACTCTCAAGGAACCTGGGCTTCCTGGGGTGGAGACTGAGGTCAGTGACTCCATCCCCAGCTGGAGAGGAGGATGGAACGAGGGGAGGGCAGAGGATGGCGGCCTTGGCCTGGACGCGCGGCCGGCCCAACTTCCACCGGGCTCGCTCCAGATCCAAGCGCACACCTTCCTCTCGGCCACCAGCCTTGTCCGCCAGGCACCTCCAGGACGCGCCGAAGTTCACCCAACAACTCCTGCCAACCCCACAGCACCTACCCCACGTCCTCCTCGTTCCTGCCGCAGGTCCTCTGGTCAGTCTGGGCGCCCTTCTAGCTCCCCGCCTTCGGGGACAGCCTCGTGTGGGCTCTCAGCGGGGCCTGTCATCTCCATGGGCTGCTCGCCTTCATCTGCTTCTTGACATACTGGGCAGACCTGGCCGCTCCGCTCACTGCGGTGGACGCAGCGGAGCCAAGTTCATCGCCATTCAGCCTCATCCCGCACCACCTCAGTTCTGCAGCCGCATCCGGCCGAATTTAAAAGACCCAAGTTGGGGGCGGAGCCCTCTCGACCAAAGCTCATGCTCATTGGCTAAACCCGCCTGACACTCAGCCGTGAGCCGGCGTCCCTTTAGCCTACTCAGCGCGCGTTCTAAACCCAGGGGCATTTGTCCTTTTCGAACGCAGCGGAGCTGGGTCACCTGCAGAGGGTCTCCGAGATCCGGCCAGATGACTTCCTGTTGGAGCCCGTGGGGAGGTCGTGATTCCCGCTAGTGTCCGCTAACACTGCAGCCTCTCGCCCCTGTGCTCGGGTCTCAGGGCTTCGCGAAAGTGAAAAAGACCCAAAGGAAGACGAAACTAGTTTTAATCCCCAAACTAAAACAGCCCAAGGCAAATTCAAGGAAAGCAAATACAAATGAGAAAAGTATAATTAAGGAAAAGTCAGTTTTTGCAAAGGCAAAGCAAGCAACTGAAAATCAAAAGGGTGAATTTAAAAAAAAGATAAAACGTGAATCTAATTTTACATTTAGGATATTTATACCGATTTTTATTTAGACCTTGATAAGCAAAAAGTCACTGTCAAGGAATCTTTTCTTATTTGATTGCCTTTCCTATAAAACGACAGCAGGGGGCACTAGATGCTCTAGTTTCATTCAGGTAGGCAAGGCGTTTAGCTTTGTCAGTTATTTTCAAACCTCAAATAGTTTGCTCTTAGAAAACGAGGATGGTTAAAAAATGTAACAGTAAATGGGGAAAACAGGGCGATACGTGGGAAAATGTTTATACGAAAAAGGTAACAATGTCTGTATTGCCTAGAACATGGGACTTTTCATGCTAGAACTGGGACTGGGGGGATTAGGGGCTTTCCTATAAACAATAACAACAAAAACTAACATTTAATGAGTACCTATTATGTGCCATCCACCTTAAGCATTTTACAGGTATCAACTTTCTTTAATCTTCACAACAACTCCCTGAGGTAGATACTATGTCATTCCCGTTTTACAGAGGAAGAAACTGAGGCAACTTGCCAAAGGCCATGCAAACAGCTGAGAAAAGTCAGATCTAGGTTTAAAAAAAGACTGTGTCAGGCTCTGAGGTCATTCTGCCCCGGTTCAAGCCATGGCTTCATTGCATGTATTATTAATATGGGAAAACACGTAACATTATGACTGGCACATAGGAAATAATAGTGTTTGCTATTATTATTTAAAGAGTGGTCTTTGCTCTCCAAGAGCTTAAAATCTACTTTAAGAGGTTGATAGGATTCATAAAGCAGTAGAGGTGCCTATTGAATAGACGAATAGAAGAGATAACAGGTGCACCTAAGTGTTCAGAGGAGGAAACAGAGTAGCCAGGTCTGGGTCACAGATTACACAGCATGGCGCCTGTTTAAAATTCTGCCTGAGCAATAGGCATTAGCTTCTGATCCTGAATGGCTTGAGCTATGGATCACATTTTTTGTGTTTGATTGTCATATGAGTATGTGTTTAACTAAAAATATAGTCAGTTTTTATTAGTCACTGAAATTCTGTTACAGGATGGTGTGATATCTACTTTTTTTATAGTTGGAAGAAGTGTTTATTAATTTCACAAACAGGTATCTGTTAGACGTCAAGCCCTGGAATAGGACTCAGAAATAAATATGGTGCCGAGTCAGAAATTGACTCTGGAGTGAGGAGGATGGGAAGGGATATTATTTTAATGGAAACCTGAAGTCAGAGAGGGAGCCAGCAAGCAAGGAGTCAAGGGAACCACACTGCTAATGACCTTGAGCAACAGCCCTTGGTGGGAAGAAGGCTTCATGCCTTGTGAGAACCAAATGATGGTATACTTGGTTGGGGCTGGAGAACTGTGAATTAGAAGTAGGGTAAAAGGGCCGGCCGAGTGGCTCAGTTGGTTAAGAGCTCGCTCAACAGTTTGAGCTCTGAGCAACAGCGGTTTAAGTCGGGCCTGAGCTGAGCTGCTGCTGAGCTGCCAACAGGTGGCAGGATGGCTCTGCTAAAAAAAAAAAAAAAGTAGAAGTAGGATAAATCGGTTCAGCAACAAGCCATGTTCGCAGAGATCCAGGGCTAAGTGTGGTTTTTCTGCGTCTGAGTCTTCTATTTAAATCACCCAGACTGTGCAACCTCCAGATAGATGTTGCTGCATGGAAATTTTACATCATGGGGTGAGAGGTAATCTTTGTGCTCAGCTTGTTTTTCATTGATTGTCCTTAACTGAGCTACTGTGCGTCTCTGTATACTTAAGTCCAGACGAGCCTCTGTCTTGAGTGAAATGACTCATCACTCCTCTGTTTTGTGTAACAGTGAAAGAATTATGTTCTTTTCTACGGTAAAATGGATTTACCGCCACTGGCATACATGTCTAACTTCATGTTACCCAAACAGATTTCTTGGAAATAGAAAAACAAAAACAAATATTCAAGATAACTCCATCTTGGGACAGCCAGGTGGCTCAGTTGGTTAGAGCGTGAGCTCTGAGCAAGAGGGTTGCCGGTTCGACTCCTACATGGGATGGTGGGCTGCGCCCCCTGCAACTAGATTGAAAACAACGACTGGACTTGGAGCTGAGCTTGCGCCCTCCACAACTAAGATTGAAGGACAACAACTTGACTTGGAGCTGATGGGTACTGGGGAAAACACACTGTTCCCCAATTCAGTTATAAATAAATAAATAAATAATAAATAGATAAATAAAATATTCACCTTACTCTAGTAAAAAACAAAAACAAAAAAAGATAGCTCCATCTTTCCTATTCTATTAGTCTCTATGGGGCCACTACTGTACTAGTGATACTTGGAGTGTAAAAATCAAATAGAAAATTGGCTTTGTGATAAAGAGGACTTGATGTACAGGGTCAATCCCTGTGATTTCTTCAGAGCTCTTTGAGCAAACAGCTCTTAATGCAATAAAAATGGCATCTTTGAGGAAAAGCAGGTTATCTTGTCTGATAAGGCTGCCTTTTCTCATTACATTAATGTTGCTGTGATAACACATTTCAAACAATGTTTTTAATTTAAAAGAAAAAATCCCAAGAGAAAATGTAGGCTGAAAAATAGGTCTTGATAATACTTGAAAACATGCAATTGAGGAACATTTAAAAAATCCTCTCAACAGTACAGTGGGATTCATTGTAAAGGTGAAACTGGGTCCAAGTTTAATGAGAGAAAAAATTTAGTCCTTTTCTCTCTCTGCTTCTTACAGTTCGGTTTAAGAGGCTAATTGTTATAGCAAGCTTAAGTGGTACCTCCAACAAATTTCTTGGAAAGAAGTGCAGTAGATTTCAATTTTAAAACAGAACAACACACTTTAACACCTTGGGAAGGCTCTGGTATTTGTATAACTCAAAAGCAGCATTTGTAGAACTCACCTCAGGCAAGATTTAGTAAAAATTATCAGGATGAAAATGAAGAGGAAGAAATTGGATTATTTATGAAACGACTTTAAAAAATTTTTTTGATAAATGATTCTCATTAACAAAGTGGTTAAGAATGTTGGCTTTTAGGCTTCAGCTCAGTTAGTGAAGCTTCAAGGCTGGAAGCCTGCCAGAGGGGTAAGAAATGGCCAAGGTCTCTCCCTCGCATTGACTGGGGCTGTGGCCAAAATGTCATAGGATGCTTTTGTGTCGTTCCCTTTTGCAAGGAGGTCTTCACAGACAGTGCTTTAGGAATTCTTTTTCCCTTCTCTTCTTAAATATCTCCTTGGAGGCTTCTGAAATGCCTTTGTGTGGTTCCCAAACTTACTGCCCCTTGGAACCAGTTGGGCATCTTTAAAGACTACTGATGCCTGCTTCTCACCTACAGATATTGTAATTTACCTGGTAGGGGCTGCAACCCAGACACAGGGAGTGTTTTTAAATTAATCTTTTTATATTGAAATAATTATAGATTCATATTGCTGTTTAAGAAGTAATACTGAGAGATTCCTTATGCGCTTTACCCAGCTTTCCCTCATGTAACATTTCCCAAAACTGTAATATAATATCACAACCAGGATATTTACATTGATACAATCAAGATACAGAACATTCCATCACCTCAAGGATCCCTCCCTTGTGTTGGCCTCTTATAACCACATTTACTCCCCCCCCCCATTAACTTCTGGCAACCACTAGCCCGTTCTCCATTTCTATAATTTTGTCATTTCAAGAGTGTTATAAGAATGGAATCATAAAGTATGTAGCCTTTGAGGATTAGCTTTTTTCACTCAGCATAATGCTCTGGAGATTCAGCCAGGTTGTTACATGTATCCATAGTTAGTTCCTTTTTATTACTGAGTAATAGTCCATGGTATGGATATAACACAGTTTGTTTAACCATCTGGATTGTATTCAGGTATTTGCTATTAGGGATCAACTGCTGTAAGTATTCATAAAGATTTTTTTTTTAAGATTTTTATTGGGGAATTGGGATGGGAACAGTGCTGGGGAATTGGGGGAAGGAGAACAGACAAGTTGCTGTCGTTTTGTTCTTCAGTCTAGTTGTGCAGGACGTTGCTTCACTGACCCAAGTTGTCACCATCATTGTGCTCTTTCCGGGCTAGGGAGATCAGTCGCCAGCTTCTGGACGGCTGCTCACTGCGGCTGCTGGCTACACACGGTAGCCCATGGCAACCCACTGCAGCAGGGGCTGCAGCCTACACTGACGCCGGGGACTCAAGGCAGCCCAGCTCCAGGTTGAGCTGTTGTTCAGCATCTTAGCTGTGGAGGGCAGTGTCACTGGCCCTCATATGTGGGATCCGAACTGGGGCTCTCTGGCGTCCCAAGCCAGTTCTCAACCACCGCGCCACTCGGCCGGCCCTCATATAGATTTTTTTTGTGTGTGTGAGCATACGTTGTCATTTCTCTGGGATAAATGCCCAGGAATAGTATTGTTAAGTTGTACGGTGGGTGCATGTTTAGTTTTTAATAAAAATGCTGAACTCTTTTTCAGAGTGGCTTGTGAAAGAAAAAGCAAAATAGAATTGATATTGTCAAGAGAGCAATCTAAAATGGAGCTGGGAGGCCTCCAGGAAGCCCAGTTAACACACCCGCTCCATGT